GCTAAATGTATCAAAAGTATGTCTATGTAATATTAGAATTTTCTGAGACAATGAATTTTGGTTTTTCGTTTTTTTGTTTTGTTTTTTTGTTTTTCAGTAAGAGGTTTTTATTTAATAGAATTTTTGGACCAAAAATATCGCAATATATCGCCTTGTTTACAGTATCGAAATATATCGGGATATATCGTATCGTGACCCCTCTGTCATGATATGTATCGTATCGCCAAATTCTTGCCAATACACAGCCCAAACAGTCAATATAGTAGAAATGTAAAAACATTACTCTGACAAGCAAAAAAAACTGTTTTTTGTGAAGAAAACATAGTTACCACATTACCTCATGCCTCTCTCAAACACAGGGAAAGCTAAATGGAGGGTGCTTGCAGAATTTATGGTGACATGACAAGAAATGTGTACCATTTCCTAGATACAGGGGGTGGGTCAACTTAAACCCACTCTCCTTTATTTGAGCATTATGAAGAACTTTATATTGGCTGAGCTCTTCTGATTTAATCTTACATTTAAGATAACGTAAAGACTATTTATAAAAGGTAAATTTAATTCTTTCTTTCTTTCTTTTTTAAAGGCTTCTAATGTAGTAACCCGACAACATCTATCAAGTAAGTCTTATAACTGGATTTGACAACTTCAGTTTTACCAGTATAAGTAGAAATAATGCTGCTGCAGTGGATTTCTCATTCTTATTACTGATAGATTTTGCTGAATTTTTTAATTTTATTTTTTTGAAGGTCACTTCCAAAGGAAATGTCAGCCGTAAGTGCTCGTTTTCTAAACTCTCATTAGGGTTATGTGATTAAAATTAGGGATGTCCGATAATATCGGCCTACATATACTATATTATCAGTCCAATATTAGCATAAATATGTCAAATCTCTACATATCGGTATTGGATTTTCTTCTGATAACAAAATCCCGATAAATTAACACCTGGATTTTGACCAAAATGTGTTAATAAATGCTTGTAGTGCAGAGACGTTCACTGGTGCACGATTGATAACATCATTAAACTGGGTTATCTCAGGGAGAGCAGGATCCAAACTATTGTTTGAGACAAAATGTTAACAATAGATATGGCAATTTTCCCATAACTTCAGTGGAATGGTTTTTATTTTGTACAGACAATGTTTACTTATGGGATGCATCCAGCGGGGTATCACAGTAGATTTGTGATGTCACCTTAATACCGGTTTGTAATATCGGTTGATATCAGAATAGGAAATTAAGTGTTGAACAATATCGGCATATCGAATATCGGCAAAAAGTCTATATCGAGCATCTCTAATTAAAATGTACAGGAGGAGTTGGGAGTTTAAGAAATGATTGATTGATACTGTGGGGAGGGGAAAGGTTTTTTAGCCAGCTAAAAGAGCTAACCATCCTAATAAATTCTTCTCAACAGAACAATCGATTAAAACAGAAAATCTCAAATATGTAGATTTATTTATTTATTTGTTTGTTCATTTATTTATTTGTATGAATTGACTTGAATCTCTTGACATTTTAGACGTCTGCAGTCATCATCACATGCAAACCATGTCAGGTTCTTCAAGATATCTGCTGTTCACAGTACGTACAGGACTCAGTATCTTATGCGAAACTGAAGTGTGTGTGTTTATTTTGCCTGAGCTTTTTTTTTTTGCGTGTGTGTGCACAGGGGATGAAGTTGTCACAGTCAACACTCCCGCGTTCGCAGAATCAGTTACAGAGGGCGATGTGAGGTGGGAGAAAGGTTGGTGAAACTGACCACATATTACCACATTGCCTGTTAGACTGGAGTTTTTATATTGACTTTTTTCTCTTTTATAAAACACGTGTTTTTGTATTTTAAAGCGGTGGGAGACTCAGTCACTGAAGATGAAGTGGTGTGTGAAATTGAGACCGATAAGGTACAATAAAGAAAACCAAACACTTTCCTTTTTGTTTCTTGAGTTTTTAATTTTTGTTCATCTTAACGTGTTTTTTTGTTTTTGTAGACGTCCGTACAAGTCCCTGCCCCGGCAGCTGGTGTACTTGAAGAACTGCTGGTTCCTGATGGAGGGAAAGTGGAAGGAGGAACGCCACTTTTCAAACTACGGAAAGGAGGTTTGTTTGTTTTTTTAACATAAAATAAAGCGCCGGTGTTGCTTTCAGCTTCAGCAGCAGTTGATCTAAAATGTTTGAATGAATCTTTAGGACAATAACCCATGTTTGTTCACATTTCACTAGCTGCTGCTGCCAAGCCTGCTCCCTCCCCATCTCCAGCTGTAGAGGCAGCTGCTCCAGAGGCTGTAACTCCTCCACCACCTCCTCAACCATCAACACCTCCCACTGCAGCCCCAGCTGGTGTGTAGCTCAACAGATTCTTACAGCACTTAACGCACTTTTCTATTCATTCTGTAGTTTCTTCTGTTCCTGTAGTTTCTGCTGTCAAGTCTTCATCTGCAGCTGCAGCACCTCCTGCTCCTTCAACAGCAGGAGTCAGAGGAGAAAACAGGGTAATGATGGCAAACTTGATGATTTATTATTAGTAGTAGTAGTAGTAGTAGTATTAATATTATTTAAATCATTCTGGGGAAAAATATGTTGTAACCAATCAAATAATATCTTAAAGGGATCCATGATTAGTTGTAACATTAGACTTTATTTAATAAACATATAACTGTAAAATAAAACTGTAAAAATACTGTAGGCTGTTCAGTTTTTATCATTTTTAAACTAAAAGTTTAAAAATATATTACACGGATGGGGCCATTTTATTTACACACAAAGCATTCTGGGTAAATGATGACGTGGATAGGTCCTTGGTGTGAGCGAGCTATATCCACCCTGAAGGTTAATCTTGGACAATATCTGATGATCGACTCTTTTAAATGAAACCAGAGAGCGTTGACAGAGAGGAGAAGGTAGAAATGACTCAGTCTGTAACTGAAAATATAGATGGAGGACAACAGAGCTGCTTCATGGAAGAAGAACCTCAGCTTAGCCTGTTAGCTTTAGCATTAGCCCCGAAGCTGTCACCATATATATGTATTAGCTCAGCGCTACACATTCTCCTCTCATCACTGAGGTCCTCCATCCACATGACAGAGAGGGGAACACAAAAATGACTCAGCCTGCAACTGAAAATATGGATGGAGGACCTCAGTTTAGCTTGTTTGTCGCGCTATCGCTGAGCTACTACATATAAGGCAATATAGTGTCGGAGCTAGCGCAAAGACTAACAGGCTAAGCTGAGGTTCTTCTTCCATGAAGCAGCTCTGTTGTCCTCCATCCATATTTTCAGTTACAGGCTGAGTCATTTCTACCTTCTCCTCTCTGTCAACGCTCTCTGGTTTCATTRAAAAGAGTCGATCATCAGATATTGTCCAAGATTAACCTTCAGGGTGGATATAGCTCCCTCACACCGAGGACCTATCCACGTCTTCATTTACCCAGAATGCTTTGCGTGTAAATAAAATGGCTCCGTCCGTGTTAAAATATATTTTTAAAAATTTACAAAACTAAATAAACATCCTACAGTATTTTTACAGTCTTTATTTTACAGTTAAAATATCTGTTTATCAAATAAAATCTAATGTTACAACTTATCAGGAATCCCTTTAAAGGAAACTGAAGTGTTTTTTGTGTCCAGGTGAAAATGAACCGTATGAGGTTGAGGATCGCTCAAAGACTAAAAGAGGCTCAGAACACCTGCGCCATGCTGACCACTTTTAACGAGGTGGACATGAGGTGAGACGAAGCAACCTCTAAACACCGAACAAAGACTTAACCAGCCTCATTGTTCTCTCCACGGTCACCAATTTCTTATTTATTTTTCTCAGTAACATCCAGGAAATGAGAAAACTCTACAAAGACGCCTTTTTAGAAAAACACAACATCAAACTGGGTTTTATGTCGGCTTTCATTAAAGCTGCTGCACACGCTCTGACTGATCAACCTGCAGTCAATGCTGGTAAGTTGATCCTGAGCTGATCATCATGGAACTCCAATGTGATGAGGTTACAGTTCTCCTCATTTAGTGCAACACAAAATGCTGCACAAGTATCATAAACAGCTGTAAGAATAGATGAGGTCATTACTATTTAAAAATGACATATGCAAATTCCACTTTTTTAGCCATTAAATGCATTTTGTTGTATACTTGGAGTCTCTAGGAGTGCAGGAAAGTGCTGCATTGAATTTAATGTTTTATGTTGTTACTACAGTTATTGATGACACAACCAAAGAGATCATCTACAGAGGTTATATAGACATTAGTGTTGCTGTGTCAACTCCAAAGGTATGACTTCTAAAGCTTATTATTTGATATTAAGTGAAAAGACAGTTGACCCAGCTGTCCTGTTGTGTCTTCCCTGTAGGGGCTTGTGGTACCGGTGATAAGAAATGTTGAGACCATGAACTTCGCTGACATTGAAAAAGCCATCAACGCTCTGGGAGAAAAGGTCAAACTCTCAGGCTGAGCCTCTTTGTTTGATTTTTGTTTTTGATGTTCCACAGAGTTCTGAAACACCTTCAATTTGTGTTCCTCAGGCTCGCAAAAACGAGCTCGCTGTCGAAGATATGGACGGAGGCACGTTCACCATTAGCAACGGCGGCGTGTTCGGCTCCTTGTTCGGCACGCCCATCATCAATCCCCCGCAGTCGGCCATTCTGGGCATGCATGGCATCTTTGACAGACCTGTGGCCGTCAGTGGCAAGGTGGGCATGAGGTGTCTGTTTGAGCTGAAGAAGGGATCTATTTCCCCCAAATATAAGTAAACTAAAACACCTGTCTGCTTCAACAGGTGGAGGTTCGACCCATGATGTTCATGGCGCTGACATATGACCATCGGCTGGTCGACGGCAGAGAAGCCGTCGCTTTCTTGCGGAAGATCAAAGCGGTGGTTGAGGATCCACGAATGCTGCTTCTGGATATGTGACGGTCAAACCACCACACAACTCTTTCAAGACATTCAGCCACACAAAATGAACTCCACAAAGCAGAGAACACACAAAACAACTTGTCCAAATATTAAGGAAATCAAACACTGAGGGTGTGTTCCAACACTCGTGGCACATAAATTCATGCTGTTACTTGTGGGAGTCAATCTAAATCATTTATTTAAAACAAAAAGCTACATCCCTTTTTTATCACTCACCACCATGAAAAGTGAGTTATAATCTATAATTTCTTACATTTCAGTTGGTGGGCAGGATGTATTCCTTCAGGGAAGCCTAGCTTTGTATTATTTTGCTGCACTACAACACTAAACACATTACTGTAGGAAAATTGACAAAAGCTTAAATATATCCTGCTTACATACATTTTCTATCCTTTTGCTACTTGTATGAGCAAGAAGAAACTACAGTGTGTCATTGTGTATTTATGAAACAAAACGGTGTTAGTTGCATAAATTTCTCCGCTACTGCTTGTTAGCGAGTGCTTCAGAGCCACCTTTTCCACATCAGCTCCAACACCACTATTTGCTAATAAGGCCAAGATTTCTTTGGTTTGTTGCTAAAGATTGTACCCTAAGTCTGGAGGTGTGGGGGGGAGTTAGCAACTGAAAACTGTAGTTTTATGTGGGGTTTATGTGTGCATACCGGTGCCATGTCTGATTAGTTTGGGATTGACTCATTAACCCATTCACTGTTTTAAGTTTTAAATGCCCCTTGTTGTCGTCAAACCTACAAATTCTTATCAAATTGTTGGATTTTTATCATGTTTTCATTCTTCATTAGCAAAATCTGCACAAAGGCACAAGGTAAAGTTTTTCATAGTACATACATTTTGTTTTATTGGGCGTAATGTTCAAAACACAGTTTTTATGTTGAGCTTTAATGTTGAAACAGATTTTCAGTTTCCAGTCTTAAATTTAAGATACTTGTATTTAAAGAAACGAACATTAAACTTTTATTTTGTAATATGTACTCTTACTTGACTCATGATTGTTTATAAATTTTAAACTTGTGAAAAAATTTAGCAGCTAAGCTCTTTTATGTAAAATAGCTCAAATTTTGTAGTCCCACTTTTTAAAAAGGTATGTTTTTTCCGAACATACAACCCTCGTTTCAATAACTTTTTCAGATTTGTTCCTGTCAAAGTCCACAGAGCCCATCCAGTGACATTGAATAAAAAAGAAATGAATGTGTGGTCATGTGATAATTATTGCATTATTCCATGCAGAGACTAATTGTTAACACAAACAAGTTTGAATTTATTTCATTTTGTTTTAATATAGAAATAAATGACAGACTTCTGTCACTTGTGGTTAGTTATGAAGTAATTCTTAGCATTTTTGTTGCAGCTATAAAAAAACAGGTGACGACTGGAGTTGTTTTTGTCCAAAAAACATTTTCAATACTCAAAATAATCTCCTCTCACCTCGTGTCTTTGATGCAGGAGTCAGGCTACGTTCACACTGCAGGCAAATGTGACCCAAATCCGATTTTTCGTATTTTCTTTTTAAATCCGACCCAGAACTTTTCAGTATGTGGTACTGTATCGGATTCATATCTGATGTTTTTCAAAGCGACTGCAGTGAATGGTCATGTCAGATTCCAAATGACATTTTCATCAGTGAGGTGCGGGTGAGGGAATCGAGAACTAACCTCGAGTCACGCTGTTTAAATCTCTAGCTCCGTGTGTTTACAGAAGTGCGGTTTCTTCATCTTTTTACTTTTCATTTTCCGTGTCCTGGATAGTACGATAATAACGTCCAGCCTGGGTCGCGGAGCGTATCGATCCTAAACTCGCAGCTCGTTGCTTCATTCCAAAAATAAGATGCTTCACCGGAGCATCCGGACAGAGGCGTGTTCAGATATAAACACTGAACTAAACAAGCATGTCAGATAATGAACAACAACTTCAGATTCGACGTGCCAAAAGTAGCATCCATGCTAACTCTGTAAACAAACAGCCCGCTGAATGAGACGTCACATATTTTTCTGCGCATGCGAGTCACATCATTGCTGTGTAGCGTTCACACTGGAGTCTGACGCAGGTCGCATTTAAAATGTAATGTGAACGTTCACACCAAAAATTTGGATTTTTTTTTTTTTTTTCAAAAAATCTGATTTGAGCAATAAGACCAGTGTGAACGTAGCCAGAGTTATGTCACGTTCATAAACAGTAAAAAAAAAACTTTTCGTAACACACACTTAGGGCGTTCAGTGTCATCTCGTAAATACTAATCCTATGAAAAATTAACCAATTTCTTAATTTGATGTTTCTTATGTGGACTGTGTTCTATTTGCAAATTATTTCGTTTTGGTCTTTCTTACATGTTACATGATGTCGCAAAATTCTTCAGAGGTTGTAACACAAATAATCAGGCTGACATTTGTCTGCTTTGTCATGGACAAAAGATGTTTAGGTGCAATCTTGGGATTCATCCGTAATTACAACTGAACATAGTCATATTTAAGAAAAACAGTGGCAAAATAAAAGCACAAGCTTCGAGGTAACAACAGTCTCAATGATCGATCTTAGCTGAAAACATTTCATCTCGTGCCAAACCTGTTTGGCTCTCGAACTCTCCACCGTGCGTGGGTTGTTTGCCAACGATGGACCTTCAAAGCCCCCCACAGCCCCGTCAGCCGACCGGCATCTCGGCTCTTGAGAAGCTGCGAATAATAGGATCATCTCTGCTAAAGTCTTAAGGGTTGCTTGGCCTTTTCTCCCACTTCACAAACACGAGCTCGAGTGCGCGCAGCTGTGTGCGACGCCTCTTCAGTGTTTCTGTTTACTTTAATAATCGCGGGGAGGAGGGGGGGGACAATGGCTCCTAATGTACGTCTTTGTTTCTCTGCCAGAACCTACACAAATGTCTGAACAACTCTGTTTGGACCGGGGGGGGGGACACAGAATTCATTAGGAGACACAAAACCAGAACATTAAATTACCATGAGAATATCAGAGGTTCTAATGGGCCTGAGCAGAGCGAACAATGACACAAGGGCTCCTTTAATTTAATTATTTACTTTTATGACGGCTCAAGATTCCATTAGCGCTTTTGAGATCATGCTAATTGGCGGCCATGTGCCAGTGGGTGCATAGATATCTGAAGGGTTTGCTGGCAGCTTTTTTTGTTTCGTCTTCGAAATTTGGCCAAATCTGTGAATTTCCAATTGGACTGCTCAATAAGACGTGGGTTTCAAGTCTTTGTGTCCATTCAGATGAAAGATGGCCCATTAGAAATTGGCAGCTAGCTGTTTGTTTTCATTAAGCCACATCAGAGGGATAATTTACCTAAATTATTCTGCTTTGCTCCTCTTTTAAATAAACTAATTAGACCAATACAGTTTTATAAAGAATTTCATTTTAGTTCAGTTTAAAGTGGGGTTTTAAGAAGATTTTAAGTCTGAATAGTTGTATAGAACTGGTTAGGATGGTGTAGTTCCTAAGTTTTAGGCACATTTTGATATGTTTCACACAAGAATAAAAAAAATGAACTGATCGGTCTCGATCAATTCAGCATTAATAATCTCCACAGCAAAAACAAAAAAATACGAGACATTCTTGAATAGGAGAACATCCTATGACGTTCTCATTCTCTAAACTAAGTTTAGAGAACGTTTGAGTCCTCAAGGATGATTTTATTGCAGTTTGTACTAAACTAGTAGGAACATCACTGATGCCATATAATTCTAAACGTTGAATCAAAACTGTTCTTGAGCTTTTTATTCTGGAAAAAAATGTACTTTTTTTGTGTTGGGTCACAGGATGCTTACTGATAAGAGCTGAACATCTTAAAGAAAATCTGAAGCACGTTTTATTTTCATCTCATCTCTAAACAACAAAGCTTGATTAATAAAGACAATGAAAGCCATAGGTGTTTCTCAGAAAACTGTTTTTTTACTGTGTTCCTGAATGTAACAATGTCATTCATTCACACTAAAATGACAGTGTTTCAGTTTCGTGGTCTAACCCCTGTATTTCGTGGCCACTTAACTATTTTTTATATCCAATGTCACTGGACAGGCTCCGTACAGACCTCTACTCTTTAGCATGGTATAGCTTAGTTATTTAAAAACCAAAAAATAAGAAACCAGCACTGCTTTGGTTAGCCATTAGCCTAGCCTGGACAAAGCCTTATTCCTCTGTGCTCTACGCCTGACATCGTGAGCCACCTGACGGAACTGGATATCACGCCTTTAGACAATAATCCTGCTCCACAGTGCCTGCATAAGTAATGCTGAACATGAATATTCATCTCCTTTCCACAACTGTTTCATTCTGACAACTAGCTCAACATCTGGTCCCATTCTTCGGTCCTTTTGATCTGGACGCCAGCGCTTCCTCTTCTTTTCCCGCTCTTGTTCCATTTGTCATACCTGAAGATTGTTTGGGGACGGGGAGAATGAGGCAGAAGACCGTGTCACCTGGCTGAGGTCAGAGGTCGCTGCGCTGAGGCTGATGCAGCTGGTGGGCGTCGGAAGTTCAAGTGTCCTGATCCGATTCAGCTCGAGTGACGGACTAAACTGTAAAAGGGAAGCTGCTTTTTGGAGACGCCTGTTAGTTTTAAAACAGAAACGTGACGTCGTAGTGTTGATGGTGACAAATGGAGGACCTGCTTCTTTCTTTCAGAACATTACAGACAAACTCGAGTTAAATATGTAGGAACTTTAATTTTAAATGTTTTGTGTCATCCTGTTAGCAAGCAGAAGGTTTCTGAGACACCTCAGCAAAGTTCACTGCAAAAAAAACAGCTGGATGTTGATTTTTGAACATTTAAGATAAGATGAGATAAAAAGATGAGATATAACTTTATTGTCATTGTGGCACTGAAAAGAACAATGCAGTCCACAGACAATGAACAATGAAATATGTTGCAGCTCCCATAGTGCAATTAAATCAGAACATTATAAAAGATAAAATAAAGAGATAAAAATAAAATAAAAAACAAACAAGATAAAAAAAATGTAAAAAACAACAATGGGCCATATCAAAGTGTCAAGCGAACATTATTGCACATAACCGTAGTGTTACAAGTTAACCATGTGTGTTTAGAAGTTTAACTGCTGTTGGATAGAAACGTTTGAGTCTGTTTGTTCTGGTCCTAACAGTCCTGAACCTTCTACCTGATGGTCCTGACAGTCCTGAACCTTCTACCTGATGGTCCTGACAGTCCTGAACCTTCTA